CCCTCCCCTTTTCCCCACCTCTCCCTTCCCCTTCCCTCCCCCTCCCTGCCCTCCCCTGGTGTTGGCTTTGGTTGACTTATCATGGACTCAAGCTTTATAGGAAAGAAAGCTAAGATGCTGCGAAACTGTGGTTATGATTTATTTTGTGGTTTTACTTTAAGATGCTTAGCCTAATGATTTCCTGATTTATAGGAAAGAGATTAAGGTATGGGAAAAGTAGAGAAGCCTGACTTGATCCTGGCCTCAGTTCCTTCAGTCTGCAGCACAAAGGATTAGATGGATGAACTAGAATGGCCTGCTGAGTTTGTAGGTGTCAGGAAAACTGGGATTTGGTATGTCTAGTTGCAGTCTTGCTAAATGTTACTTTCAGTTACACTGATGCTGCAAGGCTCCCTTGACTGGCGATTGCTAATTGGTATTTAAAAATTAACACTACTGTTAGAGTAATTAAAAAATGTAAGTTGTTTTGTCTTCTGTTTCGCAACTCGAGAGAAGGTGTATGTACCAGCAGCTTAGGTTAAGTTTGTTATCCATGATTCATTGATTGATCGTTTGCAGTATTGGGGTTTGAATGCAGAGCCACTCACTAAGCTACATGCCTGGCCTTTTTATTTCTGTTTCTTTATTTGGGACAGGGTCTTTCCTTCTGCTTGAGCCTCCCAAAGTGCTGACGCCACTGGTGTGTTCCTCTAAGTGTGTTGTCACTTGTATAGTATGTGTTCATCTCTGGTTTTCTGTAAATTGAAAATGTACCTTGGCAAGTCCTTTGTCGGCTTCTGTTTATCCATGACATAATTCACTGTGTGCATTTGAAAAACTTGCTTATGATGTAATCACCTCGGGTTGTGGTCTTAAGAGAAGGAGCTGGAGTGTAGCCCAGGGGTAGAGACTTGCCTGGCTTGCGCGAGGCCTTGGGTTGGCTCCCTAATACAGGAAGACACCAACAAGGTGAAGAACATCCTGTGCCCTGATTTGGAATAGCTCCTGCTCCAAAGGGATGTCCAAAGTTCATGACAAGGAGGAATAGGTACCAAGTAGATATTGGGACGTACTGCTGTTTTGTGTTCTAGGAAGAGTAAGCAAGGTGTATGGAATTGACCTTTTGAGGAATTACTCGCTTTGTTTTTTTACATTGTATTTTACCAGGAATTGAACTCACGACTTTGAGCTTGTCAGATGGGCACTGTGCCTCTGAGCTATATCCGTGACCCCTTGAGGATTTACTTTGAATTATAGTTAATTATATTTCAATTACTAAATGAACTTGAATTAATGGTTTAAATGTTTTACTACTTTTGCTCAAGTTTTCTTTTCAGTTTGATACTGAGGCTGGGTGATTCTTCTTAAGTATAATACACTGTTTATTGGTACCATTTATTTTACAAAATACAAGGTTTCACTGTGGTATTTTTGTCCATATATAAAACATGTCTGGGTCCTGCTCAACCCCTCAGGGGCCCCCTTCCCATATCTTTCCTTCTTGTCTAATACTAGTCTGTGCTGGGTTTAAACAGGTTTTTGTTGAATAAGTTTGTTTAATCTCTCAGTGTGTTTATTATCTCATGCTGCTCTAGAGAGTTGATATTTTATGTGATTCAGGCTCTTGCTACGCAGCTTGGACTCACAGTGATCCTCCTGTCTCAGCCTTCCCTTAATGCTGGGATTACAGGCATGTGCTACCATGCCTGGTTTAGGGATGGCGTCGCGTGCCCAGGATTCTGGGGCTGGCATGGATGTGGTACTGGGAATCCAATTAGGGACCTTGCACTTGCCAGTCAGGCGTGTATGCTGCTGAGCTATCTCCCCAGCCCAAGTCAGTATGTTAGATTATGAACATGAGAGTGATTAGGAAAGCCCCACAGTCTGGCCAGCTTGAGAGGAGTGTGGCTGTACTGTCTTTGAAGTGGCTGACTGAATCAGTTTCCTGTCGTGAAGCCACACTGTAGCTCCTTACTGGATTCCTGCAAATAGAGGCTTTGGGGCTACTTATGTTTGTTTCTCTTTATTTCATTTTTCCAAAGGATTGGAATACTTTTCTGCTGCGGTTTAATGACTTGGACTTGTGTGTATCGGAAAATGAAACTTTAAAGCATCTCTCAAATGATAGCGCAGCCTCAGAGAGCACAGTGACCAGCGGGCAGGCCAGAGTGTCCACCCAGTCCCCCCAGGCCATGGAGGACTCAGGCCCTGTTAACATCTCAGTTGCAATCACCCTCACTCTGGACCCCCTCAAACCCTTTGGAGGCTTCTCCCGCAATGTCACCCATCTGTACTCAACCATCCTGGGACATCAGATTGGACTTTCAGGTGAGCGAGTGTTGGCCCCTTTCCTTTCACAATTCTGCACCGCCATCTAACACAGACAGCAAATGGGCCATCATGCCGTGTGCTTTCTGTGTGTGTGTGTGTCTTCTGTTAAGTTTGAACTTTGCGAGGTCTAGGAGGAACCACTTGGATGTCTTCACTTAGTAAAGTGCCTGCCTTGCAGCAGTCTCGCACTACACACCCATGAGAGTGGGAAAGTGAGGGGTCAGGTGGAGCTCCGTGGGGAGCATTTGCCTGATGTGTGAGGTTCTGGCTTCCACCCCCAGCACCACCGAGGAGCGAATTTGGAAAACTTTCTAGCTTTAACAGTTGAACAGCACGGAGTATTTCCTTTCTTATTTGAGACAGGTCTTATTACACATTTCAAGCTAGCCTGGAAGTCACTGTGCAGCTCAGGTTGGCCTCAAACGCACAGTGATCCTCCTGCCTCGGCTTCCTGAGTGCTGAGATTACAGGCATGCCCCACCATGCCCGGTTTGAATTACACAGATCCATTTAACTTAGATTTTTTTTTTTTCCTAGAATTTGTGGTAATTCAACAAATCTTGTAGAATCCAGGAATGGTGGCGCATGTCTATAATCCCAGCACTGGGGAAAGTGAGATAGGAGCATTGGTGTCAGTTTATGGCCAATCTCTGCTACAAAGTGAGTTCAAGGCCATTCTAAACTATAGTGAGACCCTATCTCAAAAAGACAAAAAACCAAATATCTTGCAGATAAGCTGGCAGCCTATTGGAAGAAGACCAATAAAAAGTGTATTGTGAATGCATAAGAGACATGTGAATGATACTTTATCTTTTAATTGTTTACTACCTTAAAGTATACACAAGTGTATTTCAAAAAGTTAAGAATTGGCAGAGCCTAACCCACATAAACAAATGGACTGTACATGGCACCAGTCACAGTGGAGAGATGAAGCAGATGTAGAGGGGGGCACTGGATCCTAAGTATGTGCGGTTAGCTATGGTACATGTCATTCTCCTATCAGAGTTCATAGCTACCTTCTGTTGCTGCTGGGAGCTCATGTTAGGAGTATCAAAATGCTTATTATCAAAATAATTATCAGATAATCCAAATGATTATCAAAACAGTCATTGCTGAATTGCAGTTAAAAGGGATCTCCTGATTCTGTCAATTTCCCCTGTGTGTGATGTCTGTAACATACAAAATGTTTTATGGGCAGTTTATCTTATTATTAAGATTTTTAACCAACTGCAGGCAAATGATGTAGGAACTCTGCCCTTATTTACTGAAATCCTGGTCTCTTTTTCGCAGGCAGGGAAGCCCACGAAGAAATCAACATTACCTTTACCCTTCCCACAGCTTGGAGCTCGGATGACTGTGCTCTTCATGGCCATTGTGAGCAGGTGGTGTTCACAACCTGCATGACCCTCACGGCCACCCCCGATGTCTTCCCTGTCACTGTGTAAGTGTCTCCTGTGCTTGTCTGCCAGGAGTGACCAGCTGATAAATTCTTAGCATCACCTGCATTGTGCTACATTCTAGAATAGTCTGTGATTAGACCCAGTTAAAGGGTTATTTCAGTTTCATGTGCAATGCTCATGGCAGAACTTCTGCACATAAATATTAGAAAGTTAGTGTTTCCACCTGGTGGCAAAAGCATCCTGCTGTTGTTGTATGTAGGCTGACTTCTCCAAGAATAGAAGAAATATGAGACGGAAAAAGGAAATAAGAGCTGTGGTCCCCAACCTGAGTGACCCATTAAAAGGCTACTTAAAGTTTTTGTTAAGCTTCATTTCCCACAATTAGTTTTAAAATTGAGTATGAATCAAACTTTGTTTTCCATTAAACAAATACTATTTTTAAAAATCTTTTATTTGTTTATTTATTTGGTACAGGGACTCAGTGATCCTCCTGTCTCAGCCTCCTCAGCATTGGGATTATAGGTTTCAGTGGCCAAGACATGGCGCACCTGGGGTTCTGGGGCTGTCACGGCATGCGGTAACAGGGATTGAAGCCGGGTCCTTAAGCTTGTCAGGCAGATGCCTAGACTGCCCAGCCATTTCCCAAGCCCTAACCAATACTATTTCTGAAACTTGCTCTTTGTGTGTGTGTGTGTGTGTGTGTGTGTGTGTGTGTGTGTGTGTGTTGTCAGTTTACCTCTAATTTCTCTGTAAAGGACATAATATATGCAAGATGCAGTCTATTTAGAAGTTTTGTGGGAACTCTATAAAAGAATTATGCTGGTATCCTGGTATTTATCTACTTAGACATTTAGAGGTTTGCAGGATGATTAAATAAACATTATTTGGAATGTAGCTGTACAGAAGTTCCTATGTAAAGCTCCCATTTGTAGCTAGGAATTTAGATAATTTGAAAAGTTGACCTAAAAGAAACAGAGCCTTGGGGGCCTGGCTGTAGCTCAGGCCTTTAAGTGGCTGCTTCCACAAAGCTGTCAGCCTCAGGTTGCTGGAGTTCGAACCTCACACCTCTCCAGTTGGTCAAAAGTGCCCTGAAGGCATTTGAGGAACAAAAAAAAAAAAAAAAAAAAAAAGAAACAGAGCCTTCTTCATCTACATTGTATGTGAGAGGACTGTGGGTTGAGTAAGGCAAAACTCCAGCACTCAGATGCCTCAGTGTGGGGCACCTATATCTTTTCTTCTGTGTGTTTTGTAGAAAAAACAAAAACAAACAAAAAAAGCCTCCAACTAAAAGTGTAATGTTATTTATTCTAGAGAAAGTGTTGTCAGAAATGTCGTGTTCTCCTTTGTACATGCGTTGCTTGGTTTGATGTCCCTGCCATGGGGGACACATGAAGATATGTCAGGTCGCTGAGCCCTTGTCTCCCCGCCCTTCCTCTGCAGACAGCCTCCACACTGTGTTCCTGACACGTACAGCAACGCCACACTCTGGTACAAGATCTTCACAACTGCCCGTGATGCCAACACAAAATACGCGCAAGACTACAATCCTTTCTGGTGTTACAAGGGGGCCATTGGAAAAGTGTATCATGCTTTAAATCCCAAGCTTACAGTTATTGTTCCAGATGTAAGTTGTGGGTACAGTTGTGTGTGTGCTTGCAGGCTTGTTGCCCGCTGGGCTCAGCCTCCTCGCTGTCACTGTTGGCTCTCCTGCGCTTGGGTGACTGAGTGCAGCGGTAGAAACTTGGGAAACAGGCTGCCCTTTTAAAACATTAAGGAAAGTCTGCTTCTTTATTTTTTGTTTTCTTTAGCAGCAGTTATTTCTTTTTTTTTTTTAAATTTTCTAGCAGCAGTTCTTTCTTTCTTTCTTTTTTTTTTAAGCAGCATTTATTTCTTGAGCAGCTGCTCTGTCTAACCCATACAGATTGCAAGAAATGCTTGTCCAGTCTTGCTGGTGCACACAGCCTGTGATAGCAGAATACTGGATAGTGTGCATGGGGCTGCTTGGAGTTTGGGAGGTGGAAATGAGCCCAGGAGGAGGTGAACATTTGACCCAAGAGGGCAGCCTGCCTGGGTGTGGCCTCGAAAAGGGCAGGCAACTCTCAGGCACTAAGCTCGGCTTTCTGCTTCGATGGGTGCCTGTTCTCCACAGCTGGCACTGATTCGTTCTCAGTGCCTGTCCTCTCTTCTGTTACTTCTCTTTAAGTCTGGCCCTGTCCATTTTCCATGGCTCCCTTTTATGAGACTAGAAGTGATGGGTCAGGGCTTGGGAGCGGCAGTGGGAGGGGGTGGGGTGGTCAGCCGACTTTCAGAATCCCTGCCTCGCCAACTCTGCTTGTGTTGGGGCTGTAGGGCAGTTTTGTACCAAGTATGTTCAGAGACCGTCTGCTCCACTTTGTATAAATGAGAGGGATCCCAGGGCCGTGTCATGGAGACTAAAGCAGGCCTGGTGATTGGCTGCATGTGGGAGGTCAGAGAGGAAGGAGTATAGGCTGACTTCCATACCCTCAGCCAGGGACTTAGAGAAGTGAGGAAAGGGCAGGAGGACGAAAGCTGCCCTGAGGCGGGAGATGGTAGGAGTGGTATGACAGCCTTCAGCCTGGAGAGAGAGAACAAGCCCAGGGAAGAGCAGGTGTTAAAGGTGAGTCTCTGCAGCCTTTGTAGGAGGGAGTACTTTGGTGGGGGGAGCTTGGCAGTGTGGGGGTGCAGAAGCCAGTTAAGTGAACAGGTTCTTAATGGAGGTCATCAGAAGCATCACATGTTCACTTAATGAGAGCCAGCCACTGCGGTCTAGCTACAAAAGGAGAGACTTCCTGTTCCATCCCAGGCAAGCTGATCACGTGTAGAGGTTGGGGATCTTGTCTCCAGAAAGCTAGCATGAGAACCATTCAGTGACTCAGTTGCATATGCTTCTGTTTTTCTTTTTTATTTAGGATGACCGTTCATTAATAAATTTGCACCTCATGCACACCAGTTACTTCCTTTTCGTGATGGTGATAACAATGTTTTGCTATGCTGTGATCAAAGGCAGACCCAGCAAACTGCGTCAGAGCAATCCTGAATTTTGCCCTGAGAAGGTAAGCAGTGCACAATCCTGGTACTGTGTTTGCCAGAGGTCGCAGTGCGCAGAGATCTCAGTTCTTACCCACCTTGCTCCCACAGGAGTGGAAACAGTTGTTAGCCTGTTATGGTGGTGGGTTTTCAACCATATACTTGTCTACATACTTGTTTAAAGTAGTTATGCCCAATTTCCTGTTGCAGAATTGCTGGCCCTGGTTTGGCTACCTTCTCTCTATATCTCTCAGCAAGAGAATCCTCTTAACAGTGCTCATCAGGATTCATGAAGTCAATTCTGTCTTGGCATAGGAGTTCCACAGATTGACTGCTGCCGGGAGAAGACTTCAGATTTCAGTTCATTCCCTCCTAGACTGGATTGTTTTTTCTTAGGGGTGTAGTAACTCCCCTGCCTGGTAGATTCAGGACCGCACTCTGGCCAGGCCTTCAGGTAGGGTGCCCCTACGGTTGAATTTCCCAGGCTTCCTGTATGACCAGATTACCTGTCTTGGTTTCCTCTAGGTGGCTTTGGCCGATGCCTAATCTTACACCTCCTCGTCTTTGGAGAGAAACTGAAAGAACCATCATCATTGCCTGCTGACTCCAGCCAGGGCCTGGCCACTCCAAACACGTGATCTTGCAATGTTGGGTTATTCCAGCCAAAGACATTTCAAGTGCCTGTAACTGATTTGTACATATTTATAAAAATCTATTCAGAAATTGGTCCAATGATGCACGTGCTTTGCACTGGGTGCAGCCAGAACCCTTCAGCCTCACCCCTGGACCTGAGGGCTTGGGAGATTTCAGTGTAACACTAGAAGAACTTGATCTTGCATCATGGAGCAGGTCGTGTTTTCGCCAGGGTCACGGTGTGCTTCTTCACTGATGGGGTTGAGGTTTGCTTCCGTTCTTGTTTCAGCCTGATATGTACAAGATGTTTGAGACAGTCTGCACCTTTGATATGATATTGCATTTCCAAAGCCACTAATCCATTTTGTGGATTTTACGTGTCTGTGGCTTAATAATCAGTAACAACAACACTACCCTATTCTTCATTTTGCTTGCAAGGAAACATACCTAAGTGGGTTTTTTAAAAGAAAAATTAAAATAGTCATATTTTAATACTGCTCTAGTTAGGACAGACTTGTGCTTTCCTCCTGAGTAAAAAGTTAAATATTTAAAAGTCACGTAGATGGAAAAGATCTCAGTTTCATTTTCCATGCTGATGGTGAGGAACCAGTCTTGTTTGAGTTGGCACAGAATGTTCTTCTCCCTCTTTCTCTTTTCTCTATTATAGACGTTAAAGCAGCTCCCTCACTGCCAAGGGCCTGGACACTAGGCCACAGCTCTGGGTGGGATCGCCTAGCGGTCCTGCTTTCTGGCGCGCACATGGCAATGTGGAAAGAAGAGATGATGTGATTCAATAGTCATAAAAGGGTTTATTTCTTTCTTTGAAAAGGAGATAAACTTTCCTTTAGAAAAATACTTTCCCCTTATTTTTATGTGATGAATGTCTTCAAAAGGAAGATGGCATCTTCTGAATCTATAATGTGATGAGGACAGTGCCTGTAAAATATGAAGGAATGAAACTGATTTGCTGGTGTGTGTGTGTGTGTGTGTGTGTGTGTGTGTGTGTGTGTGTGTGTGTAGGGTTTTTGTTTTTCTTTTGTGCTGCTGGGGATTGAAGTGAGGGCCTTGAATATACTCGGTATGTGTTCTCCCACTATATCCCCAGCCCCTGATTCACTGTTTATCAAGGACAAGTGAAAGAATTTTCCTTAGAACATTTTGATCATCTAGCTCCGGGGTCCTTTGCCCTCTAATTCTCTTTTGTGTTTAGAAACTTGTACGTTATCTATTTCAGTCCTTTCTTGTTACTTGTTTTTGTTGACAGCTCTTGGTGTTAAAAGTTCCCATCATCATTGGTGTCTGTTCTCCTGCGTAGTGTCAGGGCAGGAGGGCAGTTAAGACCGTGGCCATGGCTGTTGGCACTGTAGCTCTATAGTCTGTCTGCTCTATAAATTAGAAGGAGTTCCTGCAGTGTGAAATTTGTTGGCTTAAAGCATTCTGTCCCAGGCATTCTTGACTAGAAAACAATTGTGGGCTTTTATTGAAGATTGTTAAAATAATCACCATAGTAACTTGATATGTTAATATTCCATTTTTTCCTCTTAGTACATTTCAAGAGGAGTGATCCTACTTGTCTAACCAGTTCTTTGTTTCTTGTTCTTTTTGGTATGATATGATTTGCTTATATGATGCACGGCTATTTTAGTTTTCTCTTTAGAAGACTTTGAAACCCTTATGAGACAAGATTTAGACAGAGCCATTTGGCTTGGCCTTTAGAAAGGTCAATATCCTTAGGACTGTCAGACTTTAGATCAAGCTGCTACTGAATTAGTACAGTCCCAGTGAAATGGAGTTACAGGGATAGACTCAATTAGCAGAGTAATATAACAGGCTAAAGACAAGTTAAAAAATCAGTTTCACTGGTTTATTCAACCGAGCTCATTGCAAATCTTAATTACTCTTATTTTAATGAGAGCAAATGGCTAGAATCTATAGCCAAGAGAGAAACACTGTTAGGCATGAGAATGTGCCAAAAGTGCCGGAACAGTATGACCTGTCCTGAGGCCAGGACACACTTGTTAATAAAACCCAGCATTCACTGTAGCAGGTAGCTCTCAGAGATCTTACAGAAACAGCACCAGGCAGGTGTATGAGGAAGGCAGAGAGGGGAAGGGGTCAGCTGTGCTCTAGAAGAGGCCGCCACAGAAGCCCAGGAGGGACAGGGCACCTGTTAGGCTGGGCTGTGTGCAGGCCCAGTCTGCGGCTGTGCCTCACTGTGGTCCTGGAAGATGGGGAGTGTTCTGGAGGGGCCAGGCTGTCCTTCAGGGGTGGCCTCACTGCTCACAGGCTCATTCTCAAGCATTTGGACTGGAGGGCCAGTGAAAGGTCAGCGACTTCTATTAAAATGGTTGTTTCAGATCATATTGATCTCTTTCCTTTTCCTTTTGTCCTTTCACTGTATGACTTGAATCAGTTTTGATTCTATTTGTAAGTTTCTCGCATTGTTAGGAAGCTGCCATTTCAGTTGCATTTTCTTTGGCAGTGTGTAGGGATTCAGCATCCTGGTGTTGGAACCCTCCTGCAGGCACTGTGGGGTTATGAGGGCCAGCGGATCCATTCCATTTACCTTGCTGCATGATGGTCAGTAGCTGATTTGTTATGGCATTCACTCCTTGATTAATTTCTGTGTTTGGAATATGTGCATATGTGCTTTACAGAATAAAACATCAGGATTTATTTGTCGTGTCTTCTTTTCCACCAGTCTGATGGGTGTGTGAGTTTTTGTGTGTATTTCTGTATGTTTTCTGGGTTTTGTTCTGTTTTACAGTACTAGGGATTGAGCCTGGGGCCTTCACTGAGCTACATGTACAACATTTTGTATTTTGAAACAGGGTCTCATTAAGTGTCTTAAATTGCCCAGGGTAGGCTAGCACTTGGCATCCTTCTGCCTCAGCCTCCCAGAGTGCTGCGATTATAGGCATGTGCCACCATACCTGGCTTGATGGATATTTTGTAAGGAAAGAACATATACAAATACAGTAAGCAGTTGAGGGCATTTTGTACCTTTTTTAAAAGTATCCCCTGTCTTTAGGATGAGGCTTGGCACTATGTAATGCTGAGGTGGCTTTCCAGGACACATAGGTCTTCTCTTTGAAAGCGCAGTTTTTGTGGTTAATAAGACCAAATGCTCACAACCAGACCCACACCCTGCCAGAAGGCTTAAGTATGAAGCACATAGTGGGACAGGAGCGCTGACTAGGCACAGCCTTCTACAGACACCTGTGGGGTGTGTGGGCCCCCAGATGCCAACTGCGGACTCCTGCCCTGCCACGCTGTTTCCAGAGCACCTGCGTGCACTGGCCAACCTTGGCTGTGACACATGGGGCAGCCTCCATGGCTTCCCCGCTCAAGGGAGAGTGCGATCACAAATACTTAGTCCTCCCTTGTCCACTGGGCGGAGGTGCCTGTCCCTTCCCACACCCCAGTTGGTGCCAGAGGCATAATATAAGGCTTGGGTGCAGCAGGCTAGTACCTCCACGGGCCCTTTGTTCCTGCCTTGGCACCTTGTCATGCCTTGCTGTACCATGAGGAGCTCGCCTCAGGAATTTCTGCTGGCCATGCCCCCACTTGTCCTGTGTCTGAGTGTGCAAGGTTGCCTACTTCAGCGTAGATCAAGTGTGGAGAGTAAAAGCTTACATTTCCCATCCACGTTGTACAGCCAGCGTAAAAGCTCACAGGATGACATTCTCCAGTTAGAGGCTTCGGTTCCAAATCATTTCCATTTGCCACCAGACTTTCCTGTAGACCCTCTAAGTCTTACGGAGTGATGAACGAATTTACTGTGTGGCCTGTCAGGCACACTGTGAGCTCAGTTGCTGCTTTGGACTCTGCCCACTTGTGGAGTCCACCTTTTCACCTTGGAGCACCCAGACTTCTGTTGTGCTGGTGGTTGATCTTGAATGGATGAGAGTAGCTTGAAAATTGCAAAAGTAGATGGCAGCTATACCACATGCAGGGGAAAGGGCAGCCTTGGTTTGGCTTTTACTGTCCAGCCTCTTTCTTTCAAATGGTTTTGCTCATGCAATAGCAAATATTTCTCTTTTGTATTGGTCAGGGTTTCAGGGTCTGGGAATGTAGAAGTTCACAGGTGAAGCACGTGTTTCCTTGGCCCTTACCTTCCAGGAAGGGTGGCCGGTCCAGTGGCAGATGTGCTGAGGAAGATGACCAGCAGCACTCAGTTGGAGAGGTCCCAGGGCATTCTAGGAGAGATGAGGGGCTTGGAGGGAGGCGTTGCATATGGTCCTGGTGCTCAGGGCCTCTGGATGGAAGGAGGGGGAACCCTCCGGAGGTGCTCTTCACCCCAGGACAAGATCCTGCACACTGCAGCTACAGTGGTCTGGAGCATGTGTGTGCAAGAGGCTAGACAGGGAACTGTTCTGTCACTGGTCCAGAAAAGACTAGAGTTCTTGGCCCTGCAGCACAGCCTGGTCGGTAGGAGCCCAGGCACTAACTCCTCCAGGCCATGTGGTGTTGGTCAGCTAAAAGTAGCCTAACCTTTCTGTGCCTGTGGAAAGCCAAGGCTGAGAGTGCCCAGTGGAATGGGGATTTAAGACATTAATAGGGACATTTGGGACTGCTGGGTGCCCATCATGTTTAGTATAATGAAGGTGGTCCCCCAGGTGTTGAGGAGTGCCCCTAGGGGGCGCCTCTGGCTTCTTGGGGCACTGAGAGCTAACAGCACAGATTATTTTCTTCCAGCTTTGGTTTTTCACAGGGGCCATCTTGTCTTCATGCCTGTGCCATGGTGTCTCAGGCAGTTATTGAGTTTAGGGAGGCCCCTAGAGGATGTTTATGTGTATGAGGTGTGGTCAAAACGTGATTGCTTACATTGTAAATACAGTAAACAGCTGTGAATACCCTCAAAAATCACACACCACTTCAGACACATGTCCCACTGTTCGTGCCACTTTCTGAAGCAGTTGTGGAAGTCCTCTTTCTGAGGAACTGTAGTTGCACTGTCTGGCTGGCTCAGTGTCCCGAATTGATTCCAAACATTTCCCTTTCACAGTCATTTTGGCATTGGGAAGGGCAGAAATCAAGTGGTGCCATATCGGTGGGTGAGGACACGTCCTTATGAGCCTGCCTTGCTGTCGCATGGCACTTGGTAGCAGCACTCACTGCATTTTCTAAAAATCGTACTTGTAAAGATAGGAGGACGTCTAGACATACTTCAGAGTGGTAGGAATAGTGAGTGGTAGGAATAGTGAAGGTTCAAAGGGACGGAGGATTTGAGGGGGATTCATGGCCATGTGTCTTGTAAATAAATGAGTACTTCGGGCTGGTGAGATAGCTCAGTGGTCTAAAGCACCTACTTAGAACAAGCTAAGCTAAACAAAGCAAAGGGACCGCGGTTCAATCCTCTAGCACCACATGCCAGCCAGCCCCGCCCCCTGGTGGGCTTGAACTGGCCACACACAAAATAAATAAATAAATTAAAAAAAAAAAATAAATGAGTACTTCTTTTTTCTTTCTTTTTTTTGAGATAGGGTCTTACTGTGTAATCCAGGTTGGCCTGGACTTATGGTGATCCTCTTGCCTTGGCCTTCCAAGTGCACCAACATACCCGGCTAGAGTACTTTTTGGTCACATTTTGTACATTAAAATTTGTCCTTAACTATGGGACTGGTTCCCACACCTTGTCTTTGTAGAAACTGGATAATCCTCTTCTGGTGCTCAATCCTATCTGGCACGCTGGGCCCTGGTAGTGGCTGCTTCGTAGAGCAGGATGTCCCTTCCTCCCTGACCCCAGATGCTGTCCTGCTCCAGCACTGCCCTGGGCCACTTAGTGCTGGGCAGCTGCCACCAACCTCGGGCACACGTGGGCATCAGGAACCCTTAGCTTTCTCAGGCACATCCAGCTTAATCTAATCAGTTCCAAAGCCCTCTTTTTTTTTTTTTTTTTTGTGGAACCAGGGATTGAACTCAGGCTCTTGCACTTGCCAGGGAAGCGCTTATTCCACTGAGCCATCTCCCTGGCCCCCTAAATCTTAGGTTTTTTTTTTTTTTTTTTTTGCAGAACTGGGGATTGAACTCAGGCCCTTGCGCTTGCCAGGCAAACGCTTATTCTACTGAGCCATCTCCCCAGCCCCCAAAGCCCTCTTTGGAAAAAATAATAAGTACTTTTATTATCCTAGAAAGGTCCGTCAAGTGATGACAGTGTACCAGGGAGAATCACCTGAGCAGGACAGCTCTATATGGTGGTAAGTTTCGCAGCAAAGTATACACTTTCCCCACTTTAGTTACATCCCAAGGAAATAGTGTTTGTTAAAGAGGTGCAAAAAAGGGGTTGGGGAGATAGCTCAGTGGTCTAAGCGCCTGCATGGCAAGCTTGAGGACCTGGGTTTCATCCCTGGTACTGCATGCCATGCTGGCCCTGGAACCCTGGGCATGCCATGCCAGCCTGGAAACCAGGCATGGTAGTGTATGCCTATAATCCCAGCGCTGGGGAGGCTGAGACAGGAGGATCACTATGAGTCCAAGCTGCATAGTGAGACCCTGTATCAAATATATAAATAAAAGATAAAAAAGATGTACAAAAAATAGTTTGTTGCCAGGTCAAATGATTGTAAACACTTTTCATATCTCTGTGAATGTTAATTCTGAAGCCATGTCAAATACGTAATCTTTGCATGTGATGTGTCCATTCCAGGAGTGGGCCACTTACATGATGACCAGAAGGTCCTCAAATTTCCACTGTGTCTTTTAGGGGGTAGTGTCAGTCTGTTGGAATCCAAGCCTCCAGCATCTTGCCCAAGACCAAAGTTTCCTAATTGCCTCAGTGTTTAACTTTCTGCTTATCCCAGTCCCTTAGGGCTGCTGTCATTTGCTGACTCCCTACAGGCCATCATCCACCAGCCTGTGCAGGACACCTTTTACACTACTTTGCTTACTGATCTACACCTTGAGATGCTGCTAGGAGGTGGTTGTACCCTGACTGTGCTACTCCAGGAGGAAAAGGGGTTGGGTCCATGAAGACAGCCCTGGTCCAGTGGATGAGGGGGATTAATCTTAGCCACTGGCAGGGCCTAGATCTAAAATGCCCCCAGTCTTGTTGGTTTGGTGGGTGATCGGATCATGGAGTGCGCTACTCATCAGTGGTTTTACCATTGACAAGTTCAGAGCTGAATGGGCTGTCAGGAGGTGGGGCCTGGGTCTCCCCTCTCTCTCTGCTTTGGATCTCCAGGATGAGCAGCTCTTCTCTATCAAGGCCTTTTCACCCTGCAGCTACTGCCTTGGAGCCTGCAAACAAGAGGCAGAAACCGTGATCTAAAACAAGCTCTCATCCTTGGGAGGTAACTAGGTCACCCACCATCAGGCACATTTGTGTCACGTTCAAGGTCCGTAGAAACCTACTACCTATAAAGGTGGTGCAACAGGAACGTGCCTGCCATATGTTGGCCCAGGGGAGTGGCCTGTGTTGGGGGATTTGTGGGCTGGCAGAGCTATGAACTGGAAACAAGACGCTAAACATGCAAAGTGGAAAAGCAAATGGTCAGGCAGAAGTATGCAGTATCTGGATACACAACTTGTAGTGACAGTGATGTTGGAGACTTTGGCCAGGGTTGGACTCAAAAAATGAGAGGCTGCCTGTGAGACACCACCCAGCACCCTGCCCCCTGCCACAGTCTGCTGGCCTTGCCTGCTAGGCCGTGGTGCAGCTGCCTCTGGGCACCCGAGGTCCCTGAGCCTCCACCTGGTGGCTGGAGCTGCTCCCACAGACCCTGAATATACAAGTTCTCAGGGTTGGTTCCTGACCCGCAGACACCCAGGTCAGGAAGCTCGGAATCCCATGTCCCACACCTTTCCTGGCTGATGTTCCAACTTGGACAATTGTCACAGTTTTATTGAGAGGGGTCCTCTTGAACTGAGAAACCTCCACATAAAATGAGGGCAAAGAGGAATGGGACTGTAAGGTTAAAGACTACAGGCTCTGGAAGAAAACGCTTTTCTGGTAGCTATAATCTCAGCATTTGGGGGCTGAGGCAGGAGGACTGCCATGAGTTTAAGGCCAGCCTAAACTATATTGCAAGATCCTGTCTCAAAAAAAAAAAAAAAAAAAAAAATCTTTTGGAAGCACGTAGCAATTTTTTTTGTTGTTCTCCCCCTTTTAACCTAGTTTTTCTTCCCCCTTTGGTCCTGTATTGGTGCAGGACCTGTATTTTCATTTTTACTATTTTTGGGGTGTTTGGAGTTTTAACACTTACTTTCCTTTACCCTGTTATGATTTATGTCTAGATGGCCCCCCAAAGCCTTGTAGTCACAGATGAGGCTTTTTAGAGGTGGCTGGCCCTAGGGTGTGTGATACTGGGGTCACAGATGGGAGTCTGGGATTGATTCTTGCTGCCATGCTAGAATTAAGGCCTTCTGCCTGCTATGAACTATTTCATCTCTTTGATGCTATTCTGCCTTGGAGCCAGCTGAGTATGGACTGAAACCTCTATAAACTGAGCTAAATAAACCTTTCCTCCTTAAACTTCGGGTGTCAGTTATTTTGTCTCAGTAAGAAACTCCCTTTAATATTACTTTACCTGAATAGGTCCTGCTTTTATTTTCTTTCCATGCTCTCTCTTTCAAGGGCTCTTAGTGTTTTTTTTATTCTACCTTAATCTCCACTCATTATCCTTTCCCTTGTTTTGTTATTTACTACACATTTCCCTTTATTCCTTAATAGGACCTTTTAGATAAATCTTACCTTCTCCACATCTTCTACTGCTTAATTTTTCATAATTATTTTTTGTTTTTTCATGCTTCCATACAATTTATCCTCATGAATCTGTAGGTAATTATATCTTACTGTGGCTGATACTGTTCTGTTGTGAAAGGGGTAAAGTTGCTCTCTTGATCAAGGCATGGGACACCACTGTCACTGATGTTATACCACAAAGCTACCATGATAAAACCAGCATGGCATTGGCAAAACAAAAACAAGCCAGACCTGAAGCTTAATACGACAGAAGATGCAGAAACAACTTCAAGCACAATCAGCTAGCTTATCTTTGACAAAGGGGCTCACCCTCTTCACTGGAAATTAGAAAAGCTCTTTAAAAATCAATGGTACTGGGGAAAAAATGGCTTTCCCATGCCTAAGATTGAACCTTAGACCCATGTCTCATCATATGCTAAAGTAAAATTGAAACGGATCAAATATCTAACTATAAAAACAAATACTTAATATGATAAATAGGTAAAACTCTTGACATAGGTGTAGACAAAGACATCATGAACAAAACTGTGACCATACAGGAAATATTACAAAGAATCAATAAACAGAATCTCTTACATATGTATACATGTATGTATGCGTTATTTTGAGAGGGTTATGATAGGCAGTTCAGGCGGGCCTTGAACTCATTTTGTAGTCTAGGCTGGCCTCGAACTTATAGCGATCCTCTTACGTCAGCCTCCTGAGTGCTGGGGTTACAGGAGTGTGCCACCATGCCCAGCAGGACCTCATCTTATTTTTTTGCAGTACTGGGGATTGAACTTGGGACCTTGCACTTGCCAGACAGGCGGTTTATTCCACTGAGCTATCTTCCTGGCAGGATCTCATCTTAGAACATTAACATTAAAACTGGAAAAAAATTTGCCAGCTACTCTTAGATAAAAGACTAATTTCTGATATATCTGTATCTATATAGATATCTCAAGTCGTATCTCCCAAATTCAAAGACTAATCCAAAATGGGCATCTGAAATGAATAAACTCTTTTTAGATGGAAGTACAAACAGCAAGTTGTAGGAAAAAAAGGTTCAACATCACGGGCTACCCAAAAATACAAATTGAAACAGCAGATTTCCTCACTGTAGAATGGCTGTTATCAAGAGATCAAACAATGACGAAGAAATCAGCAGCAGATGCTTGGGAAGCTGTGGGGAAAGGGAACCCCGCTGCACTGTTGGTGGGAGTGTAGACTTGTGCAATCTAGAAATCTGGAGATTTCTCTAAAGCCTTCACCTAGAGATTCCACTGGACCCAGCCGTGCTCCTTCTAGGCATTTTCCTGACGCACTCCACAGCAGATACATGCATACCTGTGTTTACAGCAATACAATTTAAAATAGCTAACTCTTGGAAACAGGCCATAGTCCTGCCAGTGGATGGTAAGGGGATAAAGAAAATGTATTTATACACAATGGAGTATAAAGGATAAACTTGAGGCACTTTTAGGTACAATGTATCTCCAGACCATAATCTTAAGTGGAATAAACCATGCACACAAGTTTAAATATCACATTATTTTTCTAATGTGAGGAACCAACATTTTAAGGAACAAAATGGAGGAAGATGTTGGGAAGCAGGGAGAACTGACCTGGGAAGGGAAGCAAGGGCGGGGTGGGGGCAGGGAATAGGGATGGAATGGAAAAGACTGGAAAGAGCTTTTGTTAATTGAGAGGGGAATGTTAACAAGAATTAAGATGTACAGGTACTGATTCCCCATGATGAATGTGATCACTATGTATGGCAAATGTGCACCAAGAAAAAATAGTAAACATTTCTCCTGGGGGTTGAAATTTTTTTTCTTTGAGGTGGGTGGGTCTCACAGTTGCCCAGGCTGGCCTTGAACCCATGGACTACGTGATCCACCCACCTTGGCCTCCCAAGTAGCTGAGACCTTAGGCCTGGTGCCACTCAGCAGCGCCTCAAGCTGAGCAGATGGAGGCAGGAGTGAGCCTGTGGTGGTATGGGAGGCTCTGGGTTCAGTCCTAGCTCCAAGACAAACTGCGCGCGCAGAGCTTTTCTCAGGAGCAGATCAAACATTAGTTCAGTTTCAATCTTAACAGAAACTGCTCATTTCCTGAATTATCAAAACTATTTCTTTTACCACTACTAGAAACGTAATGAAAAAAGATGTTTTTGAGAACTTGTGTTGGCAGGGAATTCTGTGTACTTATAAAACTAATCAGGACTGTTCAAGAACTGTTTTTCAAGGAAAAAAAAAAAAAGAAAAACAGAACATTGCTGTCCACAAAATACATCTGTTTATTTTCAATGAATCTCTAATTTATATTTACTGTGCATCTTTTGATAAGGTGGTTTGTATGGTAAACTGATTAAAATGAGCTACGTCCCCCATAAGTGTTCACTGTGTTCTCAGCTACTCACAACAGACCGTATTGACTGCCTTCCTCCTAACTCCCAAGCTGGCCAAAGACAGACGCAGAGAAAAGCACAAGACTTCGGAAAGTGTCTAGAAACACAAACCAGTTTAATAAAATAACTTTTATTGGTTACATATAATTTTAGCTATATTAATATATATTATAAACTTTAAGAATTAGATATAAGTGTCTTCCTATTTTACCAAGAATAATCTAAAACATGGCAGCATGTTTACTGGGAATTACTGAAGTCCTGCAGTCATTATGCATTTTCAGATAATCGGAAGTCATCACTGTTTAATTAGCACATGATACAGTAGTCACTGCTGCACGCAGATTACAAAGAAATGAGTCGTGTTCTCTTTTCCAGCAAAGGCTCCTTTTTTATCACAAATATATCCCCCAAATTATTTTACTTACGTAGTGTACGAACTTTAACTTAGCCACAAGAGGTTTCTCAGCTTTCACTATTGAAAGCTGGAAGGGCAGAAGACAGCAGGAAAATGCTGCTTTTTTACTTGTGCCTAAAACCCCGACTTCCAGTTAAAGCTAACTCATTCCCACGGCATACTTAGGCGTTAAACCAGAGACAGACAAGGCTGAACAGTTTGAGCAGGTTTTGGCAAATCACAGGAGCGAGCGAGCAGGCATCGGCCGGGCGGGCGCTGGCTCGCGGGGGGCCGGGCGGCTCACTCGAGTTTCTCGTCTCCCTCTTCCACATCCTTCAGGCTCAGGACTTCCAGAGAGCCTTTGCCTCGTGTTTCCTTTTTGATCAGCTCATCAATTCCTCTGAAGCAGCCCGGGTCGATGAGACACACCATTTCCAGCTGCTGACTGTAGTCCTTTGCCTCGTGTTTCCTTTTTGATCAGCTCATCAATTTCTCGGAAGCAGCCCGGGTCGATGAGACACACCTGAAACGTGTAACACAGCTGTGGCCCTGGGTCCAACCACACGCTGCCCGCCTGTGAGCGCGGCCGTGGCCGGTGGCCGGTGGCCGCGGGCAGCCAGCGCCAGCCCCCGACTGCGCTGCGAGCCTGCGAGGCCGGCTCTGCGCCTGGGCCGCGGCGCACTCCAGGCGCACAGCACAGCATCTTGCCTGGTGTTTCCGGGCCTGGGGTTCACTGCCCAGCACCACAACGCAAAGCAATCTCCTCTCTCCCACAGCAAAACCAGATTCTCCAGATATAAAAAGAAGTCTGGAGAAGATTATGGCCTTCATATTAAAGTTTAACATTACATTTTATCGTTCAATGAAATCACTTCCACAGTGAAAGAGAAAAAGCTGCTGAAGACCTCCTTAGAAAGCATGTGTAAAATTCTGAAGAGAGCTTCAAATAGTGTCACATGCTGCTTCACGATACTCAACAATCCCCTAGGCTAACTGTGCTCTTGGCTCTTTCATGGTCTTGCACTGGAGATCCTCCTGACTCAGCCGCTCCTGTAGCTGGTATTGTGGGCTTGCGCCATGGCAACTAGCACTACAGCTAGCTCACTAATTTGTTAAGACAGGTTCTTTAGAGTGTTCTGTGGTAAACAAGACTGATTAACTTTTATTTCTATTGCCGCATAATAGAAGAGCACCTTAAAACTCATTGTGTCATCTAAAATGGACATGACCAACATAATTTTATTATGAATACTTTAACCAAAAGCCAAATAAAAAATCTTAAGTGTGCTTAAGTACAATAAATTTCCTGGACCCTGTCACATTAACTTTTAATTCTAGGTGAGATACTGGTAGCAACAACTTACTGTCTACAACCTCTAAATGTTTGTTACACATTTATAACTAGAAAGTAAATGATTCTGACAGCAGGAAGCACAGAAGTCGGAGTACTTTCACCCTACCATTTCCAGCTGCTGACTGTAGTCCTCACTTTCTATAACCTTGATCAGCGGCTTCAGCTTTTCTTTCAGCTTTTTCCCTTCATTCATGGGAAGGATGAACCGAAGCCGCATGTGGGCTCGTTCTATCTTCATTTTCTCCTTTAACTGCTTTATTACCTCCAAAGCCTATTGGAACAAAATCGAGAACATCTGCAATTTCTTCTGCTGCTGTGCTATTTTAGAGAGTGTTAAAGCAGCTACTTGCTTAAAAACTTTTTGTTAGTGTATGTTTGTGATACACACTAAGTACATCCATTGTAGGCACTAGGTTCTTACACAGAATCTTTTTTTTTTTTTAAACTTTTTTATTATTTATTTGTTTATTTGTGTGTGTGTGTGTGTGTGTGTGCGCGGCCAGCTCAGCCCACCAGGGGGCGGGGCTGGCTGGCATGTGGTGCTGGGGGATTGAACCACGGTCCATGTGTTTTGCTAAACTTGTTCTAAGTAGGTGCTTTAGACCACTAAGCCATCTCACCAGCCCCCATCACACAGAATCTTGATCCTTCTGACTACCCGAGGCCCCTTCCCACCTGCACAGACAAAGCAGCATCTGTTTAGCTGTGTTAGGCAATGGTTTCCCAGCTCTGAGAACCATAACTACTCACAGAAGAACAGCCCGCAAAACTGGCCATCATTAAATTAAAAAAACTCTGTGCTTCAAAAGATTATCAAGAAAGTGATATCACTGCGCACAGAATGGGAGAAACTCTTTGCCAACTCATAAGGAAGCAGTACTCAGAATCTAGAAAGAATTCTGACAATGAAAAGATGAACAATTAAGAAATGGGCTACCAATCTGATTAGAGTATGGTGATGCGCACCTATAATCCCAGCACTCAGAAGGCTGGGGATTGTTGGGAGTTTGCAACCAGCCTGGGCTACCAAGTGAGCTCAAGGCCAGGCCCAACTGCATAATGAAAGCCTGTCTCAAAAGGCAAGGAATCGGAATAATTTCTCCCAAGATGACCGTGAAGCATCAATAAGCACATGAAAATGTTTATTTCAGCAGTTATTAGAAAATGCAAATCAAAACCAGGAGATATCCCCAAGGCGGTTAGAGTGACCAGAGGACAGCACAGTTAACAAGTGCTGCCCAGGACACGGGCCCCTTCAGCACTGCTGGTAAGAAGGTAAGCGCAGCTATTTTGGAAACTGGTTTAGCAGGTCATTAGAACATGAAGTGCAGCTGTGAGCCAGGGTCGCAGCTGTGTTTCAATGTTCCCCTCCCCTAAGCCTCATGTGCAGGGCTTTCTAGACGGGCGGGATCTAGGGTGTTTAGCGTAGTTCTGGATGTGGAGAATGGAAGCCCCACTCCGGGTGTGGGTGGCACCAATCAATGAGCTTACAGCCTCCGTGGGAGACAAAGGGACCCGGGTAGGCTGCGGTGGCTGCTGCTTGTGTGCCATGGATTGTTTCTCCTCTGATGCTGCCCTGCCTAAGCTGGCCAGCTGACTTTTTTTTGAGACAGGGTCTCATCATGCAGTTCAGGCTGGCCTTGAGCTTACTTTGTAGCACAGGCTGGGCTCGAATTCCCAATGATCCTCCTGCCTCAGCCTCCCAAGTGCTGGAATTACAGGTGTATATCACTATGCCTGGCTGTTTTTTAAATTTTTTTTTGTCAGCCAGCTAACTTTGGACTAAAACCTCTGCACTGTGAGCTGAGATAAACTCCTCCTCTAATTCCTGGGTACCGGGTATTTTATCTCAGCAACAAGAAAAGTAACTAGGGGCTGGTGAGATGGCTCAGTGGTCTAAAGCACCTACTTAGAACAAGCTTAGCAAAGCCCAGGGACCACGGTTCAATCCCCCAGCACCACATGCCAGCCAGCCGCCCCCTGGTGGGCTGAGCTGGCCACACACACACACACACACACACACACACACACAAATAAAATTTAGGAAAAAAAAATAAAAAAAAAGAAAAGTAACTAAACACCCAAATATAAACAATGAAAGGGGCTGAGGAAGTAGCTCAGCAATGCAGTGCTTGTTTACCAAATGTGAGGGTCTGAATTTGATTTTTGGTACCAAAAAAGGAAATAGGTCCATATGACATCTTGTAATGAATTTTGGGGCATATTATTTATAACTAAAAAGTGAAAACAACCCGATGTCCTCCAAATGGTCAATGAATAAAAAGTGTGGTATTGCTAATACAATAGGGTACTGTTCAGCCATTTAAAAGAAAATGGAAGTAGCTGAGTTTGGTGATGCACACCTGTCATCCCAGTACTTGGGGGGCTGAGGCAGGAGGCTTGCTGAGAGTTTAAAGCCAGCATGGGCTCTATAGTGAGTTCAAGGCCAGCCTGAACTACACAGTGAGACCCTGCCCCAAAATCCAACCCCCACCTGCAGAAAAAAGAGGACTAATCTATGCTTCAACACAGATGGACCCTGAAAATGCCACATATCCCGTGAGTCCATATATTTGAAGTGTTCCAATAGGTAAGTCTGAGGAGGCAGGAAGTGTGGATCACTGCCAGCCAAGGAGAGGCAGGGGAAGAAGGAACCACTGCTATTGGGTTAGTTTCTTTGGGAGGGCTGATGAAAATTTCTCAAATTACATAGTATGGAAGGTTCTGAAATGTGGGTTCTAAAACGCTGTGCATGTACTGACAGATTGTACCCTCTAGCAGGAGCGACTTTTACGGTAAATTAATTAGTATAAAGAAATCTAAATCTTAAAAAGAGGCGTTAAAATGATCCTTGAAAAATCTTGCTTCCATGTGTGCAGTCCCTTATTTTGATGTCTGAAGACACACCACACCACTCACCTGCTGTTTGGTGCTCTTGTTGGGTTTCACCGAATAGTGGATGTCCTTCATGGCTCTCTCGATAAGGATGACAGTGTATGGCCTCTTCGTCTCTGGGTTCACACATTTGTCTGCCACAATGGT